CGCTGCTGCGGGCTCGGGCAGTGCCGCAGGAGCAGGAATTGTGTGTTGCAGTAACCTCCGTCCTCCTGGCCGCCCTCCAGCCCCTTCCCACCACCCGCATTTATGCGCGTGATTCGTGCTCTTGCATTCTTTGAACCCGGGCCAGATAACGAGTTCAAACCACTTCGTTAAAACCTCGGGTCCCCCCCAAACGCCTGCGCACCTCCCTGGGCTACCTGGCTGCCTTGCCCACCCCAGGAAGGGGGCTGCTGCGGCCGGTTACCCCCCATGGGACGGGATGCTTGTGCCGCGCACGTGTTCAGCATCCGTGGGGAACGCGCTCTGCACTCAGCCTAATTAGCTGGGAGGGAGGGGGAGAGCCAAATCCAAACCATGTGCTGACCTGCAGGCCCCTCCGCCCGAAAGCATCCGTGCTGAACGCTCTCTGGATCGTTAACGGCTCCCCGGGTCCTTTCCGCACGTCCCCCCCCCAAATGCGCAGGGCCGGGCTGGGGGGGGTAGGGCTTTGTGCTCTTCGGCAGCAGTTTTTCCAGGGCTGCCTTTCGTGGGAGGCAGTGGGTGACCCTGGGCTGCAAGCCACAGCTGGGAGGAACTGGGGGGCAACTGTCCATGGATTTGGGGCCACCCCAATGCTGCTATTGCCAGGGGGAGACAGGCCTGGGGTTAGCTGAAGGACCTCTGCCTCCATCCCTTGCTCCCAGAGGTGGCACCCACCTCTCCCTTTGGCACAGCCTTGCTGCGGGCAAGTTTGTCTCGCAGCATGCCCAGCACCCATCGGCCTCCTCAACCTGTCCGCCAGGTGCCCACAGAGTTCGGGATGAAGCACCAGGCCCAAAAGCTACTGGGACCTGTGCCAAGGCACTTCATGGAGGAGCATGGCAAGCTGTGGGTGCCGGGAAGGGCAGGGGAAGCTGGGGATGAGTGCCTGGGATGCCCCCCGGGGTGGGCGCGGGGGGGGTCCAGCCCCGTGTCACAGGCCACCAAGAAGCCAGACACTCTGAATGCAGCTGTGGCCAGTGAAAAGGAGCAGTGGTGGCCAGAGCTGGGCCAGATGGCGTGGGGAAAGGGCTGCTTCCCCCCACGCCCCTCCCAGCCTTCCCAGCACGGAGCCCGGCTTTGCACTGGCTCCAGCCCCTGGCCCAGGGGAGGTGGCTGCTGGCCGTGGCCCACAGCTGCGTTCCCTGCTCAGTTTGCTGCTTTCAATTTAACGTCCCGGGGAGCTGGACCGGGACAGCGCAGGGGGAGCGTTGTGGTGCTTTCCCGTGCGAAGCCTGCCTGGAAGAGAATCCTTCCCTCGCCCTCGGGATGGCTGCTGGCAGGCCTGTGCCCTCCCGCCTGCCTCTGCAGGGAAAGCCAGTGGCAGGAGTGAGGATGCTCGTGGTGGCAGGGGCAGGTCAGTGCCACCACGTCCTCGTGTCCCTCCAGAGCTGAGCTTACAGCGGGGCCTGGCACGGCACAGCAGGGCCGGGGGACGGCACCTTCCTGGCATGTGGCATGGGGTGGGTGCGAGCCCTGCCATGGGAGCCGTGGGAGTGTGGGGCTCACCTTCCCGGCTGTGAGGATGGCGACAGCCCCGCACCCCCCTGGCCGCTCACCAGGAGAGAGGGGAGCCAGCGGGCACCTCAGAGGCACGGGTGGGCTGTGCGGTGGGGGTGGCCGCAGCCGCGCTGCACCCCCTGCGCAGTGTCCCCTGGGCTGGGGAGGGGGCGAGCAGCCTAATGCCTTCCAGAAGATCAGCTGTAAGCGGCCGGGGAGGGTAATTCGTATCAAACTCATAAAGCCTTTATTAGCGTCTCGGGGGAGAAATCCGGATGTGGCCGTTTGTTTATTTTGGATTTAGCTTTTTTTTTTCCCCCTCCTCTTTTCCTTTTAACATTTTCTTCCAGGAGATTTTTAAAGGGACAGGGGCCGCCTCGCAGTGGGGCTTGGGGCGGCCGCCCGCCCGTGGGGCGTTTGGTCCTGCAG